CTTGTCATGATCCACACAAACATCTTTCTGATATTCTCTGCTTTCAGCCAAGCTCCATCGGACATCAGCAATGATATCTCTCTTTCCATGGCCTCTTCTGAATCCAGCTTGAACCTCTGGAAGTTCAGTTGCTATGGAGTCAGTTCTAATTCGTGGCAACCCCAGGTGTATCAGAGGAGAGTTTGTAATCTGGAGGGTTTACAGTGGCTGATTTTCCAGAAGCAAGATTGCCAGACCTTTCTTTTGCGGTACCTCTGAGTGGCCTCAAACTTCCAACGTTTCACAGCCAAGCATTTTAACCCTTGGCAGCACCCAGGGACTCGCTGTACCTTTTAGAGGCTGTGTTTGTTCCTATATGTGTACTAGGAAATACTTAAAGTAGAATTGTAGTTTTCATTTGTGCTCACCTGTGTAGGAGCCGTGGCTTCGCAAGTGATGTTGAAAACGGGAAAGAAACATTCTCCCTCTGATTCTGGCCGCCTCCATGTAAAATTCTCACCTCACTGGAGCGCACCTGGCTTTCCCCAGCCCACACCATTTCCTGGAGTGTATTGTGTTCCTCAGAGGCTTTGTTACCTGAACAACTAAGACCACTTCTTGCTTTCCTATACACATCTCCTTATTTTAAGGCAAAGATGGGCGGAATTTTGCAGAAGTACAAAAAAACCAACTAAGCCATCAAAAAATTGCATGTGGATGTGTGAGCGGTTAGACAACTGAAAGTTGGTTGTGCTTCTGTTTTCTGGGGTGCTGTAGGATAAGCACTAGACTGTCAACCGCCAGGTTGGTGGTTCAAACTTACTACCCACTCTGTGGGGAAAAGATGAGGCTTTCTGCTTCCCTAAAGATTTACAGCCTTTGGGAACCCTAATCACAGGGTCGCAGTGAGTTGGAATCGATTCGATGGCAGTGGATATAGTTTTGTTTCTGTTTGCTGGTTGTGTGTGTGGCTTTCTGCATCTTTGGATCATAAGGTAGTGCTATAGATGGTTTTGTTCTGTTCACTGTCTGTTCCAGTTTCATTTTGTAATTGATTCAAACTGTCGTTTACTCTGTTTTTATAATAACAGAAAACAATATGAACTTCCCCATGATTTCTGTTCTGTGCCCCATTGGTGGTGAACTGGATGTAAGACAGAGTTCAAGGAAAGGGAGAGTTGGTGAAAAGCAGAGCAAATAGGGCTTTCTAGAAACTGTGGGTACTGCCTTAGGAGCAGAAATGACATAGAATCGGGGGGGGGAGCCTTTGCGACTGGAAATTGTGAGAACCTGATATCAGGATTCCTATTGTCATCAATTGGGGAGCGCAGTGGCTTCATAAGATAAGCCCTGGATTGTGAACTGCAAGATGGACGATTTACACCCAACAGGGAGAAAGATGAGGCTTTCTGCTCCCACAAAGAGATTGAAAGCCTCCAAAACCCTATACAGTGTCACTGTGAGTCACAGCCCACTTGATGGCATTTAACAACAAATTTACACTAATTGGAGCTCTGGTGATGCAGTGGGTTAACCATTAGGTGTCTTACCATAAGGTTGGTGGTTCAAACCCACCAGTCACTCTGCAGGAGAAAGCTGAGGCTGTCTGCTCCCGTAAGAATCGACCATCTCAGAAACCTTGGGGGGCTGGGGTGGGGGGCACTTCTACTCTGCCCTGTGTGTCAAGATCCAGTCGACTGCGGTGAGTTTTTGTGTTGGCACTAATTGGCTACGTGACACCAGACAAGTCTCTGAGCTTATCTAGGGTTCAGTTTCCCGAATTTGAAAGGCGAGGGGTGCCAGAGAACCCTGTAAATCCATCCCTTCCTGGAATCCATGGCGCTTTATCACCTTCTTCCTGAGAGGCGAGCTTGTGAATTTCTAGGCATAGCTGACTGACCGTTGTAAGTAAGACCTGTCATCTTAAATCTCTTGCTACTAATGGACACGAGCAAAGTATCCTGGGCCACCACATATCCTGGGTCACCATGTATTTTTGCCATGCTCTACCATGGTAGCTCTGGGTAACCAGACCATGGCTGCTCAGGGGCCCATGTTGTCAGCTTGACCCTTTTCCGTTTCAGCAAGAAGTAGATTTTCTAGAAGTGGATTGCCAAGACTTTCTTCCAAGGCATCTCTAGGTTAACGCAAACCTCTAGCCTTTCCGTTTGCAGCCATATGTACCTTTTCCATCACCCAGAGACTGACTGACTTGTATCTTTTAGACGGGGTGCTTTCTTCCTTTACGTATGAGGGAGCTTTAGAACATTCGTGGGAAATGTAGAATTAAAAGACAATGGATTTTTTTCCTGAGAACTTTTTGAAGTCCCCTTGTGTGTGTTGGAACCACAGAATGATTTTAAGTAGAATTGTAGGAACAGCTTTTCCTCCCTGAGCCCTTGCCCTGGAGCTGTGGTGGTGCCATTGGTTAAGCCTTGGGCTGCTAACCGTAAGGTTGGCTGTTCAAACCCACCAGCTACTCCTCAGGAGAAAGACAAGGCTGTCTGCTTCTTAAAGATTTACAGTCTCAGAAACCCGATGAAGCAGTTCTACTGTGTCCTACAAGGTCACTATGAGTCGGAATGGACTTATTGGCATTGGGTTTTGGGTGGCCCTTGCTCTGAGAGCCTTTTATGAAAATAGTTGATAGAAATGAAAGTCACCTAGCGCTGACTGATGATCATGCTATCCCGGAGTTCCTGGTCATCTGTGTTCATTGTTGTTATTGTTGTTGTTAAGTGCCGTTGAGTCGCTTCCGACCCATAGCGACCCTGTACAGGGTTTCCGAGGCTGTAAATCTTTACGGGAGCAGAACGCCTCATCTTTCTCCCGCAGAGCGGCTGGTAGTTTCGAACTGTTGGCTTTAAGGTTCGCAGCCCGATTCGTAACCACTACGCTACCAGAAGAGCCGCCGCAGTTAAGGACAGCTGATAAGAGCTGCCTCTGTGCAGTGCGCCCTCATTTCGTTGCATCTTCACAGGACTTAATTATCCCCAACAAACAATTGCAGGACCAGATCCTGGGGTTGAGGATCTTGTCTGATTTCACAAAACCAGCAAGTGGCAGAGCCAATCCCAAAGCTCATGTTTTCTTGTTGTTTGTCCATCCCACCTCCTTCCCTCTTACATCCTGGTGTCTCTGAAAAAGTGATTTGAAAAATTAGAAGGCATTGTCAGATTGGAATCCTAGCATCTTGAGAATTGTGGGACCAGCCAGCTAGTCTGGAATCTGAGTTCCAGAAATGAGACTTGTGGATCCGTCTACAATCACACAGCTTGTCTGACCTTGTTCTTTGAACCCCTCACCATCACCACACTGCCCGTGACCCCACACTCTGCAAGATGACCATCTCGTGTGGCACCCTAAGAGCACTCAATTTAATCTTCTTACATCACCTTCTGTTTTTAAGTAGTTCACAGGATTCAAAGCAAATGCCTGAGAGTAGTATTACACATTCATTTCTTCTACTGGCTGGCTGGCCTGGTCCTGGACTATTGTTATGGATATTTGGGGGGGTATGTGTGTAACACTTGACACATCTCATTTAATATCAATAGTTCTCATTTTCTTAAAGACTCTTGTCATCGCCACACAGGGCTGCCCACAGGATTGGTGGTTCTAACCCAGCAGCTGCTCTGTGGTAAAAAAGACGAGGCAGTTGGCTTCTGTAAAGATGTGTAGTCTTAGACCCCCTAAGGAACGGTTCTACTATGTCCTAAAGGGTTGCTAGGAGTTGAGATCAATTAAACCAGTGGGTTTGGGTTTTGGGTTTTTGTCACAATGGCCACCAAACTTCAAGTTTAGATCTTGGCGGCTCATTCGTGTTGAACGAAGTTTACGTCAGCTTATTTGAATCCGTGTTTTAGTTGTGCCTTGTGGCTCAGTAGGTTAAGTGTTGGGCTGCTAGACAAAAGATTGACAGTTCAAACCTACCAGTTGCTCTGAGAGAGGAAGATGAGGCTGTGCGCTCCCATGAAGACTGACAGTATCAGAAATCCTATGGAACAGTGGAACCATATTCGGTGGGATTGGTATGAACTGAAACCCACTCTGTGGCAGTGGGTGGGTTTTCACGTTCCACAAAAATAGCTTTGTAATTTTTTTAATTAAATAGGCCAGTTAAGCACAAAAGCCTTGAGGAAGGGCCGAGAAGGTGGGTGGGGACACATAGCTGAATACCTTCCTGGATACTTGAGCTGACCTAACTTGTTCACGTTTGAAAAGGTGGTTACTGAGGAGCACTGGCAGAGGGCCTCCACACAGGATGAAGACGGGGCCGAGACACAGAGGAGCCCCAGCAGGCGGTGGGGTTCTGGCAAAAGGGCAAGACCCAGACCCCTCTCGGACTATGGCCAGTCGGCAAGCCGGAGTCTGTCCATCCCTGAGGACGCTGTCACTGTAGACACCCAGAAGATGGATTTTGTGGATGGTGAACACTCACCAGGCCTGGCACCCATGGGTGCCGCTCCCGTGGGTTGCCCTAAAGGAAGTCGGAGAAGGAGGCCCATGTCCGTGATAGGAGGCGTCAGCTTCTACAGAAACAGCCCAGCTGAGGAGTTGGAGACTCTTCTCACCCAAGTAAGATCTGCTTCTGCCAAAGCCAGCCACCACCCTGAGTCCAGGCCTGGCCTTTGTTGTCCACAGAGGAGCGCTGTGGGCTGTGGCTGTCCCTCGCCTTCTGTCTTCCTCCAATCTCTTCTCTCCATGCTCAGCTTTGACTTCCTGCCTCTGTGTGATAACACTCCTCAACGCCAACTAACCACCCGGCCTCCGGATGCGTGCCGGCCCACCCACTTGTGCTAACCTTTGTCTCTCTTGCTGCTACAAACAAAACAAAAACACGTGGAATTAGTTTGCTGTTGCTACTGGTTTTATTTTTAATAACCTGAGGTTTGCATTAAGGTGAAGGTAGCATAGATTAGTTTGTGAACTTCTGTGAAAGAAAAAATTATTGAAAAAGAATGTGTCATCCATAGACTAAATGTAAAGATAAGAAGAAAATTTTTAAAACCCAGATGTTTCTTTAGGACAGGGGTGAGACACCTTTTTCTGCCAAAATATATAGCATCCTTCACGGGCCATACAAAATTAGCCTGCTGTATTTGGTCAAACATTTAATTAACTCACCAGTTTGAAACTACTGGCCATTCTGTGGGAGAAAGATGAGGATTTCTTCTCCCGTAAAGATTTACAGTCTCGAAAATCCTATGCAGCGTTGCTGTAAGTCGGATCAGACTCCAGGGCACACCACCACCACCACCAATATGATAGCTGGAGTCCTGGTGTGGTGCTGTTGGATAATGCCCTGGACTGAAAGGTCAGCTTGAATTGCAAGGTTGGCAGTTCAAACCTACCAGCTGCTCCTTGGAAACTCTATACAGGATCGCTATGAGTTGGAACCAACTTGAGGCCCTTAACAGATGTGATGTCTGGGATTGTGATTGCCCTGGCAAGGCCAGACCAAATGGTTTCGCAGGCCTTATATGGCCCATGAAGGAGCTCTGGTAACATGGTGGTTATGAGTCGGGCTGCTAATCATACGGTCAGCAGTTGGAAACTTCCAGCGGTTCCATAGGAGAAAGATGAGGCTTTCTGCTCCCGTAAAGATTTACAGCCTCGGAAACCCTGTTCAGGGTCGCTATGAGTCAGAACCGACTCCACGGCACATAACCACCACTACCACTATATGGCCTGTGGGCCCGGTGCTCCTGATCCCTGCTTTAGGAAATAGAACATCAGTTTGTTTTATTTTTCTAATCATTTTCTTAATCTTTACTGTTGAATTACAACTTTGCAATTGGTTTGACAATACATTAAAATCTTATCACTGGTCCTGTAAGGAGCCCTGTTGTCGCAGTGGGTTAAGTGTTGCACTGCTAACCTCAGGGTTGTTGGTTCAAACCCACCATGAGCTCCATGGGAGGAAGATGAGGCTGCCTGCCACCATACAGATGACAGCCTTGAAAACTAGGGAGGAGTTCTAGTCTTTGGCTTTGAGTTGGAATCGACTCAATGGCAGTGGGCTTTGGGTGGTAATGGTCCCGTAGCAAGCTTTAGGGGTTCAAGAAGTGTCAATCAAGTGACCAGTGAGCATGTTGGGAACAAAACACGTGATTAATGGCCCTGTTAAAGAGGAGTTTGCACTCACTGGGTGAATCAGACACCCAGGCCAGGCGCTATGGTTAACAGTTCACACACAGTTTTAAGAGGAAGTGTCCAATTTCATTTGAAAAGCCTTATGTCGTAACTAACCCATAAAATTCTCTTATAAGGGAAATTCTATATTCATCTCAGTGTTGGGTTGTACGTAGGCTTATATAATCCCCATGAATCCTAGCTCAATGCCATGTTTTGCAAGCAGTCAAAAGTAGACAAATCCTTCTTCACTGAATGGGGTTGAATTAAATTCTTAATGTAAAACTACATTACATTAAAACAATAATAATAATACAATAAAGTTGAAAAATACCATGAAATCTTTTAAAAGATGCTGGTTGTTTAAGAGGTTGCATATTATTAGGCAGGAACTATTTTTGAGCCAAATCTAATTCTAATCTATTTTTGCTCAAAACACAGCATAGTGAAGGAATTCTAAGTACCTACGAATTCTTCCACGTCAGAGCATCAGAAAGGTGCATAATAAAATAATGCTCTGCAACAATATGAGATTGCTTCAAAAGTTCTTGAAAGAGTGGGATGAAAAGATCATTGAATTTTTCCATGAACCTTTTGAAGCCCCGTTGTAGAAAAAAAGCTTGAGGAAAGTATGCGTAGACTTGGCCTCTGACGTATAATCTTAGGGATGGTTAACAGGGAACGTTGAAAGGGGATAGAGACAGATCTAAGGAGACCAAGATGAATTTGTGGAAAACCAACACTTCTCTGAAAGAAAGCTCAGTTGTTGTGGCCGTTTTATTAAAGCAAGAGCATCTGTCAGCTCCACAGATGTTTACTGAGCTCCTCTCCATCTTTGCTGCTTTTAGAGCTAGATCCGCCTCATCTTCCAACATGTCCTGTGTCAGAACTCACCACTTTGTAAAGCTACCTTTTCTCAGCTGAGCCTTTTTGCTTCTCCCTGGTGTGTGCAACTGACAGATGTGACAGAGACGCCCACGGGTTCCTAATGGCTCTGTCAAACGTGGACAAGAATTGACTGCGGTTGCTCTGCACACAATTTGGAGGAAGCATCTTACGGCTACAAGTGGCTTTGAGGCGAGAACTCGGAGCGCCTTGCAGCTGTGTATGTGTGAGCTTCAGGCAGGAACTGCAACTTCCTGGCATCTCCTCACGGCTCTTTGGTTTCCTCTTACAGCCCACCTCCAGGCCTCCGGTGCCAGCTCACCAGGTGCCACCGTACAAAGCCGTCTCAGCCCGGTTCCGTCCGTTCACGTTTTCTCAGAGCACCCCCATCGGCCTGGATCGAGTAGGCCGCCGGCGCCAGATGCGAGCATCCAACAGTAAGTGTTAAATGCCCTGGGTGCTGAGGCCTGCCCGGGCCCATCCCCTAAAAGCAGACATGTAGGTACATTATGTGTCTCTGTCCCTCTGTGGACACGGTGTCTACTGATCTGCCTGCAGGTCAGCTGGTACCCACTTTGAGAACACTTACCTTTAAAAGGTGAACATAAGAAACATCAAAGATAGGAAGTATATAGAAACCAGTTCATTAGTGGTTATTAGGGGTGTGGGTGGAGGAAGGTTGGGGGGGTGGGAATTGGGTTCACTGGTTAGGAGACCCTGAACTTCAGTTCGGGGTGATGGGAAGTTTAGAAACGGATATAAGGGTGGCCATTTAAACATGATGGAAATGATCAATATCAGTGAACTGTGCATGTGGAAAAGTTGGAATGGTAAAGGTTTTCTTACATAGAGATTTACTGTGTGTACTGGGTTGAACTGTGTTCCAAAAAAAGTTGTGTTCTGAATCCTAACCTGCGTGCCTGTGGTTATAATCCCATTTGGGGTTACATGTTCTTATGTTCAGGAGGCAGAATGTTTGTAAGGTGTGATGTAAGCCAATCTTCTTTGAGATATTAAATGCAAGCTAGCAAGCCGACATCAGGGAGGAGAGACACCAGGTCTCATGAGTTCACCTAGGAACAGCAACTGAAAAGAGACAAGGACCTTCTCCTGGAGTGGACACACACAGAGAAAGGCTTCTTCTAGAACCAGCAGCCTCAATTCAGGCTTTTAGCCTTCCAAACTGTGAGGGAACACATTCCTATTCATGAACCCACTCACTGGTGATGTTTGTGTTCTGGCAGCACTAGATAACCAAGACATCACAATCCTTTTTTGATAAAAAAAAAAAAGGGGGGGGGGCGGGAGATTGATTGGTCAGAGAAACAAAGGAGAAAAAGAAGGTGTAAGATCACTGAGGTCAAGGGAAAGTTTGAAAGAGGTTGAAGAGCAGGAAGGTCACTGGTGACCTCTGACCTGGAAGTCGTTGGTAAGGAGAGATATCAGGGTGTGAGCATGTAGGGTCAAACAGGGTTGTGAGAGGTGCGAGAGTTTATGAAGAACGAGGAATGTGACAACTCCTAAGGTGTTTGCATGGTTTTAAACTCTCTTCCACACACCTTATGAGTTGTAGAGGGCACATGATTTCATCAAGCAGGGTGTAACGTGAAAGAAGAATCAGAGAGCCATTAAGAGGTTTAGGAAACTACAAACATCTCAAACCCAACAGGAATGTCCTGAAGAGAATGATCCAGCTACTCCTGTTACTTGTCAGAAGAGCAGGTACAAACACCTGTGTCCTCAGAGATGGTCAACATTGGTGCTCCTGAGTCCCAGCTTCACTGATCCTTTCTCTGACCTCAGTCCCTAGATACTTCCTCAGGCCAGTCTTCCATACACACTCTTTTCAGAGTCAGTTTTCACCTTCAACCTGTCTGCGTTATTCTCTCTCTAACTCTCCCTGTCATCAGTGTGACCCCTGTCTCAGTTTCCATCTGCCTCTCTTACCTTGCTATATTCAGATCTCACCATCCTGTATTCCCCCCATAGCTATGGGCTCTCATACTACCTCTGCCCAGACCTGCCTCCCTTTCCACTACCACGTGTGAAACTCCTTCCTCTTCCGAGTTCTGTGCCAGCCACCCAGAGTGTATCCCTTGTCACCCTCCCGAAGCTCCCTTTGGCCGGATGCTCTCACGCTCACTCTCTTTAATCTAAGAATCAGTGTCCGGTGACGCAATTCTGAGAACGTTATCCAAATGGAGGAAGAACTGACCTCCCCGAGACGTTCTTCACAGAGTGGTCTGTGATAGCAAAATGTTGCCATCATCTGACTGTTCACCAACTGTGGGAGAGAGCGGGAGGACAATGTGACTGTGAGAATTGTCACACCACTGATTACCACGGTGGATTGCACTGATCTGCCTGACGAGTCAGATGCCCTCTTCCCCCCTCACACTCCATACCCATTTCTCCCGAAGCCAGGAACCCAGGTAAAGAAGGGACTTCCTTCAACTGAGGAGGATCGCCCCTCAGTCAAGGGTATGTGAGCACTGTGCTCCTCAGCTAAAACCTCCAAATAAGCACCCACGGTCTACTGAGAGAAGAATACTTAGTTGAAATGTCATAGGAGACCACTTCCAAACAGCTTATAACATAGACTATGCAACAAAAGGAAAAAGTGACTCATTGTAAGTGAGTAAGTGTGTTTAAGAGGTGTACACAAGTATGTCATGATTATAACCACATACAATACGTACACATACGAGGGACTTTCAAAAAGTTTATGGAGAAACGCCATTATCTTTTCATTCCATTTTCCCACGAGCTTTCGGAAGCCCCTTCAGATGGTCAAAGATGTACAAAGAATATGCAGCAATGAAAATGAGGTCATGAGGGTGGGAGGAATGTGGACAGTTTCTCCTCCAACCCCAAACACATATATCCCCATACCTTCACCCCCTGCACTTTGTAACAGTGGTTTTTGAGGTGAGGGAGGTACAGTTGTTTGGTTGAGAAACAACAGACACTAACTCTGGCGTCAGGAGCTCTCAGAAAGGCTAAGTTGGCCGAGGAGCCAGGCTAGGAGGCAGGCGACAATCAGGGTTGGCCCTGGTTGTCTAGGAACTGCAGAAAAGGCCATGGAGCAGCATGGAGGAGTGGCAGTCCTTCCCGCCAGTGGTCACTCTGTCTGAGTCCAAGCCCCAGAACAGAGGTTTCTACTGTCCACGCTTAGGTGTCTGCAGGAGCCCAGTCCTTGCGGTCTGTTAGCAGGTGACCACCTGGATCATCTATCCCTTCATGCTGAATACCCATGAGACCTTGGTGGGTCAGTGGTAGAATTGTCGCCTTCCATGCAGAAGACCTCGGTTCACTTCCTGACCACATGCTTCATACACAGCTGCCACTTGCCTGTTGGTGGACGCTCGTGTGTTGCTATGATACCAAACAGGTTTCAGTGGAGCCTCCAGACTAAGATGTGCCCAATGATCTGCTTTAGAATATCAGCCAATGAAAACCCCAGGGTCTGAGTTGCACTTGATCATGGAGATAATGCAGGACCAGGCAGTGTTGTGTGCCATGGTACAGTGGGCATCATGAATCGGGGGCCAAATGGTCAGATGCCAACATCAACCAGGCTGGGCACATTGGAGGAGAGGTCATTCTCCCAATGACCACATGGAATCCATGTAAGGAATCAAACAACAAGTGACTATTCACTGTGTTGGTGTGACTCTGTAGGATAAGCACTAGGCTCGGAACCACTAGGTTGGTGGTTTGAGCTCACCAGCCGTTGGTAGGAGAAAGATGAAAGTTTCTGTTTCCACAAAGATTTACAACCTCTGAAGCCTTATACAAGGTCACTGTGAGTCAGAACCTACTTGAAGGCACTTACCAATTCACTGTGCTAGGTAGTGTGATTAAAATAAAGGGGAGGGTTAAAAAAATAAAACAAGCCATTGTTAAAGAGAGCATTCCAGCTTCACAGTGACCCAGTAACCCGGTGAGACAGAGTGTATCTGCTCCCTGGGGTTTTCCAGACTCTATAAATCTTTACAGGAGCAGAAAGCCTCATATTTCTCCTGAGGAGCACCTGGTAGGTGTGAACCACCAACCTTGTGGTTAGCAGCCCAGTGCTTAACTCACTACATCACCAGGGCTCCTCAAAGCATGGTTGTTGCTGTTCAGTGCCGGCGAGTTGGTTCTGACTCATGACGATCCTGCATAGGATTTTTAAGGAGCGGCTGCTGAGCTTGAACCGCTGACCTTGTAGTTCAGCGCAGACATGGTAACCACTGTCAGTGAGGCAAGTCTGACTCATGGGGACAGTCTGTCTGGGGCTCTGAGGCTGTAACTCTATATCAGAGCACAGTCTCCTCTTTCTCCTAAAGAGCCGTGGGTTTGCACAACCAACTCTGCAGTTAGCAGACTGTTTGCATCACCCATGGTATTAAAAAGGGAAAGCTCTCTCTCTCTTATCTTTGGTTGCAAGGCCTTAGGTGGCATTTCTGACTTTGTTTCTTCAGCCTCCGTTGCCTCTGCCCAGCACCTTACATGCTGTAGGGTTCTTTGCTGGATGAGGTGGCTCAAACCTCCTCCTTTTAGACTTCCGCGCCGTTAGTGGGCCTGCTTGTCCAGACTTACTTCTCTGGCCTCCTTTGTTCCATCTATTGTTGTTAAGTGCCATTAAGTCATAGAGACCGTGTCTGGTTCGGGTTTCCAAGAAGCGGTTGGTAGGTCTGAACCACTGATCTTTCAGCTAACAGTCCGGTGCTTATCCTACAGCACCATGCCAGGACTCCTTCTGCCAGAAATTTGTCCATCGAAAAAATTTGTGGAGCATCAGCTATGAGCCAGGCACCGGTATTATTGTGTGGCGTAACAAAATATGACATAACAGAAGTATGCATTCTAGACAATGTGCCATAACAAATACATGCATTCCTAACAGATATATACATTCTAGAGAACGTGCCCTCACAGATATATACATTCTAGGGAACGTGCCCTCACAGATATTCTAGGGAACGTGCCCTCACAGATATATGCATTCTAGGGAACGTGCCCTCACAGATATATGCATTCTAGGGAACGTGCCCTCACAGATATATG